TTTTTTTAAGACCGAGTCTTGCTCTGTCGCCAGGCTGGAGCACAGTGGCACAGTCTCAGCTCACTGCAACCTCCGCCTCCCGGGTTCAAGCAATTCTTCCACCTCAGCCTCCGAAGTAGCTGGGACTACAGGCGCGTGCCAAATGCCCGGCTAATTTTTGTATTTTTAGTAGAGACGGGCTAACCTAAATTTAAACTATAAAACAATAAAGTGGTTTAACATCTAAAGCACTTCATAATGGTTATTTCTTCTATCTCACTCCCCCATTCCCCAAAACATCTCATTCCCAAAAAGGTGGGTAGGAGAAAATGCAAACATATGTAAATCTTCTCACATGTTCTATAGCGCCCGCCTGTCCATTACTGTATTCTCGGTATCGGCCAAGCATCTGGTCCACTTGTCGCAGGTTCCGACTGGTATCCTTGAGAAAGAAAATGGACTGAATTAATTACTCCAAATAATGTTTTTCCCAATCAGTCTTAGTAGCATGTCAATAAACTAAGTCAACAGTTTATAAAATGTACAGCTTATATCATGGCTAAGTTGAATATCAATGTACTTCAAACATATTAAATCTTCACACCACTGAGAGAAACTCAAACTCAGCTGCAATTTACTAGTGTGAAATCTGAAGCACATAATGTACATCCACATTCGAGGCTCCCTAATAAGTCAGCAACAAAACCATAAATACTCAGAATCAAAATTTTAATTTGTGCCCCTCAACTAATTCACACCCTCTTTATAGAAAAGGAATCCTGAAAGAGTAAATCTAATAGACTGTGAGCAAGAGAAAAAAATCATTAAGATCAATGTTATTTCAATTATTCTTTTACCTCAGAACTTGATGAGAAGGAAAAAAGTATCCTTTAATCTTAAGCCATTAAACAACAAATTTTAATCACAATAGAAATGGTTCTCATCTAAATATGCTAGATTTCACCTGAGAGGTTAATCAAGGTATTTCCTTCAAAAATACATACTTACTAATGTGTCTCATTGTTGGGAAAGTACAAGAATTCATACTTGAAAATGCCACTGTTATTTTACTTTACTTACTTTTCACTTACTTTACTTACTTACTGATGAACAAGGGTATTGCTCTGTCACCCAGGCTGGAGTGAAGTGGCATGATCATGGCTCACTGCAGCTTCAGCTTCCTGGGCTCAAGCAATTCTGCTGCCTCAACTTCCCGATTAGCTGAGATCACAGGCACACACAACTATACCCAGCTATTTTTTTTTTTTTTTCTAATTCATGTATAGACAGAGTCTAAGTATGTTGCCTAGGCTGGTCTCAAACTCCTGGCTCAAGAGATCCTCCTAAGTCAGCCTCCCAAAGTGCTAGAATTACAGGTATGAGCCACCATGCCCAGCCCATCATGTTACTTTAAATGAATGTAAAAAGGATAGGTCTTCTGATTTTCAAATCAAAGCATGGCCTCGCCATGAGAAATTATCCTCTTCTTATCTAGGCATACTAATCCAAAGCAATTAAAAGCCAAAATCTATGCTTATCCAGGCTAAGGCAAAGGGAAGGGATTAATGAGTAGGAAATAAATTCTAAGTTTTCTTTTTTCCCATATAGCTATGCTAACCTTCCCCACCTCTTTTCTAAAGCCCTTTCTAAGAAAAGGCAGCAAGCTGCCTCAACTCAAACCTCCAAATACTGGCAAAAATTAGCATCTAAATCAAAATGGCATCTCTTTATTTTCATCCACAAATAATCTACCTCACCAACACATCAGCAATTTCTCTAAAGGCACATGCCCACAAGAAGCTAAACTACCATCATTTCTACTGGTTTCACTCTCAGAATATTTTATTTGGAAATGCTGCTTTATCCTAAAACACTCTCCACCACCTATCATATATTTTGAATATCTTTACTGACTGACATAGGCAAAATAATGGCCTTCAAAGATATCCAAGTCCTAACCCCTGCAACCTGTATTTGTATACCAAACATGGCAAAAGGGATTTTGCAAATGTGATTACATTGAAGACTTTTAGATGGAGAGTTTCTCCTGGATGATTGGGTGGACCCAATGAAATCATAAGCATCCTTAAAAGAGGAAAAGGGAGGCAGGAGAAGTAGAATCATAGGATGTGAGAAGGGCTTGACCCTTCCCTGCTGGCTTTGAAGATGAGGGAAGGCGGCCACAAGACAAGAAATATGAGCACCCTCTAGAAACCAGAGAAGGCAAGGCAATAGATGTTTCCCTCAGAGCTTCCAGAGAGGAACACATCGCTACCAACACTCTGAGACCCAATGAGACCAGTGTTGATTTCTGATGTAGAAAACTTTAAGATAACAAATTTGTGTTGTTTTAAGACATTAGCTTTGCAGTAATTTGTTACAACAGCAAGAAAACTAATCAACTGACAAACTATTAAGCAGCTCAAACTATTTAAATTCTATTAAATGCAACCATTGTGAAACTAACCTGTAAAGTACTTGTTATAGTGTTGACCTTCTGGGTAACTTCTACTGTAGGAAGACTTCGAGTTCCCCTGTGAGTTGATCTGGCAGCCCATGCACTCAATCGGTCACGATAGCGGAAGTGATCGGATTCGCTCGATGATTCTGCCATTGATGTACACAAATCCTTCAAAATAAATATAGGTCAAGGTTAACGAAACAGTAAAAAGCCTGAAAATAAAAGACTAATATGTTTACTTTTGTTCTCTTTTCTGTGTTTAACACGTTAGTAATTTTGCAAACTGTAATTTCCACACACATAGCTTCAAAATACAAGAAGTCATTTCCCCATGTAATTCTCCCTCCTTCGTTTTCTCTGCTTTAAGGGAGCAATTCCTCAGATATAATTTCAGTCATGTTTACAACTCCAACAATAATAATCCCTTAGATTCATGCAATGCTTCCGAATTTTGAAAGCATTTTCACATTTAGTACCTCACTTAATCCTACCAACAACACTGTAAGGTAGATGAGAAAAACAGATATTCTCTAAAGTTAGGACCTGTAGGTATCGTAATATTCGTCTAACGTCCATTCTACTATAAGAACACAGGTATTGCCCGGCGCGGTGGCTCAAGCCTGTAATCCCAGCACTGTGGGAGGCCGAGGCGGGTGGATCACGAGGTCAAGAGAT